GGTATTCCACGTATTCGATAGTAGTCAAATTACACCGCAAATACGTCACTAGAAAAGCGAGACTCGAGCTGTATGGTGGTTCGCGCGCGTGCGGCGAAAAAGCGAAAACGACGCGAAGGAGAGGACTCACCGAGACACGGCGTCCAGTCGGAAGCCCCAAAACGCGTAGCGAGGTGTCATAACTCGGCGATGACGGCGACTCGCCGACGGCTCCTTCCGTCGAAGTACGATCGAAGATCGCCAGATCGCCTCCTCCGTTAGAGATCCCAGGAGCCCAGGACCGGTGGCGAACACAGTGGCGGTAACTTTTCTCCGCGTACACCAACACCATTCACACCCGCGAACGCATAACACGCGAAAGCGCGCTCGCGAGAGAGAGAGAGAGAGAGAGAGAGAGAGACGAATCGGCTCTCGCGGCTGTCCGAGTTTTGTTTATCCCTCGGCCGCGTTGAGCGTCGAGCGTCGACAGAACGTTCCCCAGCGTTCCCGTAGACAGAACGGCGAGATCTTAGAAAGAGGTCGAGGGACGACGCGACGCGTCGCGTCGTTAAATAAATATCGCGCGGCGGCTGCTCGGTCAGGGCGCAAGATTCCCCGCGCGACTCGCACACAACTTGTTTACTAGAACGCGCACCGCGCCATGCCCCGCTAAACGTGCGTCCGTCACCGCCCGCCTCTCGCCTACCGAACAAAATAAGCGGCTGCGCAATGGCTCGGCTCGCCGCTGCTGTGCTCGCCCGCCGCCCGTCTACGCTCTCCCTTCCTTCTTCTTCCCGACTCCCGACTCCCGAGTGCGCTTTCTATACGCGCGATAAAGGGAATATCTGCCTTGACGTACTACGACGCAACCGCGACGGGCGCGACGAGCCAACGCTCGTAACATGCGAACAGACGGGTCATCGTACTCTCGCGCCACCGCTCTGGCACCGCTGCTTGCTCCGAGCTCCGAGCTCCGAGCGACGCTATCCGGCTATCCGACCAATCCACCTTCCGTCTCCGTCAGTTCCGTCGAGTCGGGACGGTTATAACGGCCGTTTACCACAAACAGTCAACGTCATGACATCTGAATTAAAACTTCGGAGTAATACCTGCGCGGATGATAAACCGGCACGGATGATAAATCCTGCGCGAATGATAAACACCCTCGTGAGAGTGAAACGTGTGCCTACTGTCTGTAATGACAAAAATCTTGGATTATTATTTCCTATTAACTTAATATAGAGCGGTGCTTATATTATTTTGCTAAAATAAATAAAATATTAATTTTTTATATATATAGAAATTTTACTACCGTTCTATTGATTAATCATCGATTAAGTTGTTTGAAATTTAGTCAAAGTCGCTTTGAATATATTATAGATAATACTGTCTTATGTTATTTATAAACAGTGTTGGGTAGTATCTCTATACATGTATAGAGGTACATTTTGTGTATTTAATCTATATCTGTGAGATGCATCCGAATTCGAGTATTTGTGTCTGTATCTAGATAAAAAAATATAGAGCATCTGATTTTCAGATGCATTTTTCGGATACATTTCCTCAGTATAGTCATAATTCTATTTTATGCGTGATTGTCGATTGATTCCATTCCGCAGAAAAAAAGCAGCTTTGTTGTTGCAAAATTTTGTAACATGATTGATCTTTCTTTTAGTCCCTCACAGGATCTAAATGCAAATCAGTTATGTGTTAAAGAATTTTACACAGCTGCTTTTTCTGCCGAATGCAGCCAGTGATCTTTGTAAAATTTATAAAATTTGTAAAATTATGATGAATAATATCGTCTTATAATTCTTATTCTAAATCGTTTAATGATAATTATAAGTTTTTTCAATTATCTATATAAATGTAACAAGTGCGAGCGTGACGTAGCGGCAGCGCACGAGACTGCTATGTCAGAGATCCCGGGTTCGATCCCAGGCAGAACCGAAAAATTTTTCGAACGCTCGTAGCTCCTCTCAGCAGGCAATGGCAAACCACCGAGAGTATCTTTGCCAAGAGAAACTTCTCTAACAAAAATCGTTGTTCGCGGAATCGACATTAAATAATAAGTCCCCCATATAACCAATGCATATGAGAGAAGTCATCACGCTCGGCCACGAATCAATAGGACTGAGATGATTTTACACATTGTACAAATTAAAATGAAAATTAAATTATTTAAATTAGTAAAACTCATATCCACACACATAAATATTTCTGTGATATTAATTTTATAAAAGCAATTTTCGTTCGCGATGAATTCAGGTTCCATCATGAAAAACGCCACCGCTTTAGCCAATACGCGGTAGCGTTTTCCATTGATGAAATCTGAATTTATCACGAACGAAAATTGCTTTTAACTGGATGTTCTACGCGATAAAATACGCTTCAATTGATTTCTGTCTATACCATGGAATTATTCAGTCAAATCTGGCGTGCACTTACGAGTATTAAAGAATCGACGTTAAACTGTAGGTCCTATATGACCGTGCACAATCAGCGTGCGCACCACAGGCATATGAGAGAAGTCAACACGCTCGGTTACAGGCAATAAGACTGAAGAGAGAGAGAGAGAGAGAGAGAGAGATATTGCAAATGTAACAAAAATGAATAAATGAATGATTCATTTAATAACTAATACATTTTTTACACATTACTTATTACCATTATTACAATGAAATTAATTTAAGAGTATCTAAAATGTATCTGAAGATACTTTCAAAGTATCTGATATCTGTGTACAGGGTTTCCCGACCTTTTTTGCCAATCACTTTTGTGTAGATAGAGCTAAAAATTGCAAAATATTGTGGTCTTGAATAATTTTTTACTCAAATACTATCAACTTTACAGAAAAACTGCAACAGACAAAAATTATTTATTTTCTTCTCATAAAGTTCTGAGAATTTTTTCAGAATTTTTTCAGAATTTTTTAATACCGTATTTTCTCATGTTGGTAAAATTAGAAAATGCCGTACTAAAAAGTTGATAAAAAATTCTCAGAACTTTATGAGAAGAAAATAAATAATTTTTGTCTGTTGCAGTTTTTCTGTAAAGTTGATAGTATTTGAGTAAAAAATTATTCAAGACTAATATTTTGCAATTTTTAGTAATTAATATCTTGTTAACTATTGCGAAAATTGCAAAATGGTAGAGGATTTTTCGACTCAGTTTAGTCCGCTTTATCTGCACAAAAGTGATTGGCAAAAAAGGTCAGGACATCCTGTATACATCTTAATACGTATATCTATATCTGTATTTAGATAAATTTTCGTACATGTAACTGTAGCTATATCTCTAGGTAAATTTTAAGAATATCTTACCCATCACTGTTTATAAGGTATTATAAATTTGAAAAATGGATCGTTATCATTCATTTTCTCATAAAAGAGATTAGAATATAAATATCTCCCGTACAAAACTATTCCCAGACAGATAAAAATCGTATCTTTGAGGCTTTTAGAAAAAATCTTGCCATATCTTCTTTTAGATATAATTTAAATAGCTTTTACATAGATATCTTTTAGAAATAACTTTTAATGTATGAAATATATTTTTTAAATATTTTCGAAATCTTGATATGATGTAACCTTTTCTGGGTCATACGTATCCATTTAATAATCTTCAATTCTCCACAGATAGCTACTGAATCGTGCCAAACTCAATAATAAACTTCAGGTCTTTCGTTCCTTATTATCTCTTTTCCTTTTGAAAAAATAAACTCATACTGCGGACGTCATGGACGTCATGTACTGTTCAAACCATTTATGTGTTGGTAGACGATGCATAATTGTTTTCCCACAACTTCAACACTTTCTTTAGCACTCGTAACTCGAGTGTTCACTGTGTACGCAGTTGCCAAAGCAAATTGTGAAGGTTAATATAAAAAAAGAAATAAAAAATGGAAATACCTGCGTTTTGTAATCGATGAGTGAACTCGCTATAATTAACCCTTCGGAGTTAACATCAAAATTTATAAAACAATTACTGACGCTAGGTAATATTCATTTAATCCATGTTAATTAAATGGCACTAATTAATTTTAAAGGAATCAAAATGACATAACTTTTATAAAAAAAAGAATTAATATTTATTATTTTTAATAGTAATAATCTAAATTCGCCGAAATAATATAAAGAAAATTCAATTATTTCATTTTTCTTTACATTTTGATAAAGAGATTTATAATTAAATCACAGTTTAGTAAGATTGTCAATTGGATCTGTAAAATTAGCACGACATTCTATTATTAATATAAAAAAAATACGATAGTTCCAGTAGTACTTTTCATAGTTTCACAGTTTTTTATAAAAATAAAAAAAAATTCCGCATTTTTTATATTAAAAAAATCAAAATTAAAAATATGGCGTGCTAATTTTGGTGTAAAACAAATACAAAATTCTTTTTCATTTTTATAAGAAACTGTAAAACTGTAAAAAGTACTACTGTCATAATTTTCTTCCTAAGAATGATGTGCTAACCTCCTTGTCAATTTCGAAAAATTAGTGTAATCGGTATAAATTTGATATAAAAAACGATGCAGAAATAATACGAAATACAATATAAAACATTTTTTTATCAACTGGTAGTAATGTTGAGAAAGTAACGCGTTACTTGTAACGACGTTACATTTTCGTTACTTTTTTTTGATAACACTTTGGTAAAACACCGTTATTTTTTTCTATTAGTAACAAAAAAGTTTTTTTATTAATAACAAAAAGTTAACGACGTTATATATTTTTTAACGAGTAACGAAATTGACTCCGTTGCTCTTGTATCGTTACACTTTTTTATAGATCACGACCATCACGGACAATAAAGATTATAGGTAAATAAACCAAAAACTTTTTGCCTATTTTTGTTTCATTCGCTATCCTCACTTTAGCATAAGAACACTAAAATATTTATTATATAATAAAATACCATAGAATTAAACATAAGTATATAAATATTCAAAGATATAAATATTCAAAGATATAAATATCTTTCTAAGTATCTTATGTTTAGTTTATATTCCGTCTCACCATTCTGTCTTAGAAGCCTGTTTTAACATTTAAAAAAAAGCGCAATTATGCAGAAGACAGGCTTTTTCATCGATTTTGACGAAATTAGGGTATCGTATATTCAACGCGTTTTCACACGAACAGAGCGACACTGATTTTTCTGCCAGATTCGTTCATTTCATGCGAAAATACGTTGAATGACCCTAATTTTATCAAAATCGGTGAGTAGGTCCGTCTCCTGCATAATTACGAAAAAAGTAACGAAAAGTAACGATTTTTTAACGATAATGCGTTACTTTTTAGACTCAGTAATAATGACTAACGGTAACGAGTTATACTTTTTACCGCAAATAACGGTAACGGTAACATATTATATTATTTTTTAAAAATACCTTTTCCCAACCGTGGTTTATACGACATATAATACAAAAAAAAATTAATTCGTTAATATCTTAAGTAAGAGAACGCGATACAGATAGCAAAGTTATAAGTCCCAGTATCATTGAGGAAGCACAAACAATGGACAATGTATCTCGATTATAAGTAGGACAAAGTTCTTTGTTGTTGCATCTCCTGAAAAAAAATGAAAACAAGTTTTAGAAACAACGAATTAGCCAAAGGACCCCGCACAAAATCATAGGATTTTGGCCCTCGGTGAAATTAGCCGAAATTTTAGTATGTTATAGTTCTTGATTCACTGATCAAAAGTGTTCATAGGCACAAATCCTGAAAATGACTAGTTTTTTGTTGTAGCCATTTAAAGTTTTACTTTACTAAATCAGGTTTCTACAATAAATCAAGAGATTTTAAATAACAATATGCCAACCACTCTCACCACCTTCACTCCCAATTCCATCTCCACTCCACTCCCACTCCACCCCCATCCCCATTCCCACACACATACGCCCCCGCGCGCGCACGTGTGTGTTTGTGTATGCATCAATGGTACATTTATGATTTTAGTTTTTCGTCCGTTCTCAGAATTATTTGGAATGAACGACGTGGATGTGACAGGCGTTTCATTCCTTTGGGTTACTTGATTTTCATGAGTCCCCTTGCCGCATATGAATGTAAACAAAGCGAAGAGGAAAAGAATTTTCTATCCTATGTTGTTATCGCATTTTAGAGAGCACCCGATATTTTTTTGTACATGGAACTTCACATGCCGAAATAAACATTCGAGTCGTGATAATCAAGCACTTTGCACATGAAAGGTAAATGGACTCACACATTTCAAATAATACGCGTGAGAGAAATCGTAAAAATCTAGCAAAATCTAAGTACATAGTAAAAATGCGCGCGCGGGCGTATGTGTATGGGAATAGGGGTGGGAATGGAGTGGGGGTGGGGTTTGGGTTGGGAGTGAGGGTGGATGGCACATTGTTATCTAAAATCTCTTGATTTATTACAGAAACTTGCTTTTGGGGCATTAATAAAATAAAACTTTAAAGCGGCTATAACAAAAAAAACTATGAGTCATTTTCAAGCTTTGTGTCTATGGACACTTTTGATCAGTGAGTCGAGAACTATAACATACTATAGGTAATTTCAGCCAATTTCACCGAGGGCCAAAATCCTATGATTTTGTGCGGGGTCCTTTGCATTATTAATCTAAAATCGTAAAGTAAAAATTTTTCTTAAAATAAGCTATATTTGTTTCTAACAATTTTTTATGTATTATGAAAGAGCTGCAATCTGCGATTAAATGAATTTTGGATGGTTACTCACAATTTCTCGATGAATATCACTACGAGACCAGTGATGATTTTATCGAGGAAAGTGACGATTGAATATACGAACGCGCTACGTTCCGTTCGACAGCCGATTAATTCGGCGGTGACGCTCAATGCGGTGACCATCGTGATAGAGCTTCCCACGCCAATTAATATGGCGACGATGTATACGACTGTTGAGTTATTTCCGACAAATTCCGTGACAACGGCGGCGGTCATACCAATTATAGCGCCGAAAAAGTAGCAAGCCTACGATTCAACGAAACAAAAATACACTTAGAAAATCTCTTTGTCTTTTCTTCTTTTTCTTATTATAAAAATTTACCTTGGTACTGCAAATTCTGTTGAGGTATTTGAGTAGCAAAGCGGCCGTGAATGAGAATACATATGATACTAACGGCACACTGGCCAATGCTTGCTTACCATTAACTTTTGTCTCTTCTATATACAACGGCAAATATATCGTAGCGAGAGTGATAAATAATCTGCTCGCCACGTATAGCATCGCGACTCTTAATAAAACCATGACGTCGATCCATGATATTTGACGATTCAATGAAACATTCGACGGCTTAACTGACTTTTCAATGTCCGGTTTTAGGTATATTGTTTGTTCCAAGAGATTCGCTTTCAGGAAAATGTGAAAAAAGACAGTCGCAGTCAAACCGAAAGCTGTGAGGACCAGAACGATATTCTGCAAATCAGAATCACATGCATATCTTTTTTATCATCTTTTTTCTTCATACGTACTCTGAATTTATAGTCATCTTGCTGATCCAATTGAACCATCGATTCGCCACTAGTTGGTAGAATTATCCATGTTACTACAAAAGCTATCACAGCCGCACCAACTTGAGCAGAATATCTAGGAGTAAATTTGCCTTGAAGTAACATTTATAGAACTCGCTATTCAATTATTATCTAGAATCCCACGTTTTCAAGTGATTATTACACAAATCACATACCTTATTGCGGTTAAATCTGCTCGAGCTAGGACGGAATTAGTTAACGAGGGGATCATCGATAAATGAGAGATTTGTACGGCTGCCCAACCAATTTGAAATATCGTAATACTCGTTACATATAAAAGCATCGCAATTGTAGTAGATGAATTGACAAAACCGCCGAATATTACGGGGAAGGATAGAGTGACCATCACGGATCCAATAATGTGCCAAATTTTTTTCTTGCAATAGTGATCAATTAGGAAACCAAATATGGGTGTCATAATGGCATCGATTACTTGTCCTTGAATGAAGATCGTTCAAACATTAATCAATAGTATGACTAATGTAGCATCGCTCGCGCATGAATAGATCGACACATACCTAAGAGTAAAATCGCACCAGCGACGATAGGCTCTAATAATGCAACTCGTTGCAGATAGATTAAGGTATAGGAGAACCACATAGCAGCTGCTAGGTCATTGAAAATATGTCCAAGAGCATAAGCGATTTTCGTGGACACTGCTATTCTTCCGCTATTCACGAGAGGTCTTTGTTCATTATCCATTTTAAAGAGGTGAGCTTTTTAAGATAAGATGGAAACTTTCACAGTTCTGATGAATCCATTACGATAATATTCTTAAAAATCCTATGTCTGCGGAAAATGTAACTATAATATAAGCTACGAATAACATGTAATAATTATTTATTATGGTTTCACAAAGGAAAAAAGGACTTTCAATTACGTAAATATCAAGAATAATAAGTTCAAAAATTAAATAAATTTTACGGTTTATAACATATAATAATACACAGAAAAAATGTTTTGTAACGACGTTATTTCTTTCTAACGATAAGGCAAACCTGCGGTCAGCATTCCTTTCACTTGATTGAATTTTACTTTAAGCTGTTTTCTTTTACGATAATATTTTCTTGTCAGGACAGTTACGTGATGATCGCGCAAGTTTACAAACATATACGACATGAGTTTAGACCTTCAGTAACACTATGAGAGAGATTAGGTACAGATTATTGATAACATAAGATATTATTATAATACGATTATTTGGACTCGACGGTTCAAAGTCTACTTTATTAAAACTAATGTAACACTAAAAAAAAATTTAATATACCGATTTCAGTAAACCATGTTAGATCTTTACGTAAAACACACGTACATCCATAAATACGAATTTATGTTTTACACTATAAAAATTGAACTGCGATTGAATCTTTTGTGAATTCAGTATAAACCTTATATTCTTTCTTAAACTTTAAAAATTATCTAATACATAAAAATATACAAATAATAGCACATAGAACGTTTCATTAATGTATGCTCTAATTCATGAAGGAAAATTTCGCGAATATTAAAGAAATAATTGGATTAAAATTTACGTGATGTATCTATCCGAATGTCGACTCTTTCAACGTTTTCATAAAAATGATTAAATTTATCGTTACCGCCACATGTCACGATGGATACCGCGATATCGGACCGCCGCGCCGGCTGTCTGTTCGCGTCACGTGCAGGTGAAAGACTGAGCTCTGAAATACGCGTCGTTCTTTGCAAAGATTATGTCAAACTATCAGACGGATTAATATGGTATAATATTCACAGTAGCCAGTGATAACCGTAATCTTATCAGTACATCGATTTCTACCAGAACGTCGAGCAAGTCAAAGCTCATTAATGTTTTTTAATCAATATTTTTTGTACAAGATTAATGTCTATGTTATGATTATATAAATTGATGTATATAAATCAATGTATAAATTCTGTCGTTTTAATGTTTATTTCTAATATTTTAATAAAATTAGAAAATTACGTCCTATATATAAATATCGTATATTTCCAGAAAAATATATAATACAAAATATAAATTAAATATTCCATGTAACAAGAAATTGTAAACTATGAAAAATTAATTAAAATTTTATTAAAAAATCACAAGGAAAAGAGAAAAATTTTAAGGTAACTGACATAGATAATGATGTCATATGTGTATACTGGGTAAAACAGGCCCTGTAATCTGAGATAGCAAAAGAGAAACGCGAGAGAGGTACACTCGAAGGAATCGATACCAAGCAAGTTCTTATACGGTCTCCCGGTCAAGCGACCTAGCAAACTATGGTCACTTCTAACTACACACCATAATAAATAGAAATAACACAACTCAAAGTTATTTCTCTAACAAAAATAACAGACTATATATTTAATTTTACGAAAGTATTAAATACGTTCTAGTACATTCTAGTACAATAGGAAATAATCTATATAAAATATATTTGTTGAAAATATTTTGTTATTAAATTTATACAGATAATTAAAAATATTTTGTACAAAATTCATAAATACTAAAAGAATTAGAAAAGCATATTTTATATATATATTTTTTTAATAGCTATTATATATTATAAATTATTAAAAAGTTTTATTTTGTGATAATGAATGAGTCATAAACGACTTTTTTTTACAATTAAAATGAGATCAAGCTATTACAAAATATAAATGCTTTTTATACTTAAAAACGAAATATTAGATAACTACTTAAGCAACAATATACAATGTCATACTAATAATATGCTACATAATTATGTCCTAGAATACTTATGTATTATATAACATTTACTCCTTCGTTGAAAGAATATATTGAGAAATAATATGTCTAACTTAATACAAAAGGCATAGAGGTTGTCTACAGTCTTAATATTCGCATATGAGCAAAGGAGAATTTCTGTTTAATTAATATTTATATACAATTTTTGGATTTTATTACATTTTTCCTAACGCGCAAAAATGCATCGCGTTAAATCGTAACCTTTTCTAAAGCCGTATATTCCGTATCTTCAAATTGTCTTAAATGAATCTGCAAATAAATGCTTCTATATTTCATGCTATCGATAATTGATTTAATTATAATTGTATGTTATAAATATATTTACCTGTAAATGTAAATTAACTTCAGCGGATCGGCTTAGATATGGAAAATTTCCACCACTTTTCAAATGTGCTAGTTTTGCATTTGGATAGCATTTATACACTTCTTCTCTAACTGCGTTTGATAACGCATATTCGTCAAAAACGTCAATTACTGTTACAGGTAAATGACATATCTTTTGAGGTTGTACATAACAATTTATGCAATTCATTGTTAAACGAGACGCTAATTCGGGTTGCGTTAAGCTCTCTAGCTGTAAATTACAATTAAAACATATGCATAACGTATATATATATATAACATATTTAGAATAAATATTTTTTTCTTTATATTTTTTATCTTTCATTAGTTTGAAGAAAATTAAGATTACCCGTTCCACCATAAAATCAATTGCTTCTACAATCTCTCCATCGACTTTCTCCGTTGCAAAATTTCCCATTACCATTTTCTTCAATACCAATGAAGGTAAAATCCAAAAACTACGAAAAGAAAAAAATTTATCTTATTTTATCTACGCTTAAATTAGAACTATTTAAAATAGTCCACTTACACTGCTGCGGAATCATTGTAACTAAATACAGATGTGTCTGTGAAGGTATTACACAAAACCAGAGATACTACCCTAGGACAGTGTGCATTTATTTCTGTAAATTTTTGTGCCAAAAATCCACCTGTGAATATACAATTTCATCTATTAGATAATTAATTATTATGTTACTTGAAAGTAAATATTTTGTTTATACGTTCTGACCTAGGGAAGCACCAAAAAGATGGACTTTATCAAGTTCTAAATAATCTAACAGCTTTCTGAATCCGTCACACCATTCCTTTATACTCCAGTACACTGGTGCCTCAGCCTATAAAAATCAAGTTATTATTTACTCTCTCTAATTTATACATTAGCAAGATATAATTGCATCTCTTATACTATTTTACATATATTGAAAGACTTCAAAAAGCTTATCGGTTTACTTACGGAGATAACTCTATAACCTTTGGCAGCAAGACCTAATATTTGTCTAAAAAATATATCAGCAGTACCACAGACAGGCGGAAGACATATAAGTGGGCACTTGATAGTTTTTGGATTAGAATCATATACCTTCCATCCCTAAAACAATCGTAACAACATTTCAAAATGTTACCGTTTTTTTGTTTACTTCTATGCTTACACTTATCAGAATTATGAGACCACTTTGCAACTTGACGAAAATCGATAAAAAGAGGAAAGTAAATTAGCTAGAGATCAAATGTGATAACTAATACAGAATTAATTTATTTGTATGATAATACGGAATAATACCTTTGCGCCGTCGGCGTCAACAACGATTTTTCTGAGCGGTACAGAGCTGCGAAAACTCAGATATTCCTGCGAGCGTGACAGCTCGCTCGAGTACGAAGACATATTTTGTTTTCGTTCACGACACGACGCCAGTCGGTACGTTGCACCGTGTTATCATCGCTCGACGGTCATGTCTTTCTTGATATCAGAAGAGACAGTACATTAATTATTATAATAATGTAGTTTGCATAATGCGTCACCAAAATATATTCACGACTATCGATAATGTGAGCATAACGAGTTTTAACTGCAACAACATTAACCAGCGATCAGCATAATAAATTCAAGAGCGTGATCTCTTTCGATAACGCAACATTTTAATCATTCATCATCGTACACCATAGGTACGAGCCCTTTTAGGACAATGAAATTTCCTTCGATCTGAATAAATTTCTAAAATTTTACCTACTCAACCCACATACAATTCAATTTTTTTTTAGAAATAACTTTCGCCTGAAGAGATATATTTTCTCTGTAGAAGCTAGAGAGTCTAAGCTCATCATCTTTCTCACTGCCTTAACTACAGAGCACTGTGAACTGCTTGCTGTGAAGCGGATTATAAGGGGCTCCGCACAATAAAAAGAACAGGGAACAGAGAACAGAGAATAAGAATTTCAATCTATCAGTGTGTATTCCACAATACATGATTTCTGATAGGTTGTGAAATTCTTATTTTTTGTTCCCTGTTCCTTTTATTGTGCAGAGCCTCTAAATAGATACTCAGATGAAAATCAGGATACAATTCGTTCCGAGTGTTTTAAATATATCATTGTTATTATTATTTGTCTGAATATGATTTTCTTTAGAAAAAAGGTTCGATTTTTTCTTATGACAGAGTAAAAACACATTTAACTATTAGAAATGTGTAAATTATTCTACGAGGTTTCTTACAATCCTATTTTTCCTTTTCTCTTTTCAAATTCATTCGCACAGTTGTCTTTGTTGCAACTTGTTTTGTAAAAAAAAAACTAAAATCGATTTTACCGTGATTATAAATCGTACAAATTTTTATCTCGCTTAAAAAACAATTATCAATTTTATTTTATACGTTCATTATGATATTTCGATTCAGTTATTTATATCCCTTCAATAATTACAAAAATGAATAATCAATAAAAAAAGTAAATAACGATTATGATAGAATGATAAATATCACCAACAGATGGCTCAACAATCCCTGTTTACATAGTGTTTAAAGTGGTGACATTCTTCAATACCAGCGATCAGTACAAGCAATTTACCTCGGCGAGATTAACGATGGTCTTTTGACAAAAATTCGAAAAAAACTTAAAAAATTTATACTATTTTCATGATTTAAGAATTATAATTATTTTTTAAAATTATTTCCAATGCATTATTTAAGTACATTAGCTCTAGGAGTCATAACTTAGACACACGCATTGTCTATATCTCTTTATGATGTCTTTTAGATATCTTTTATGGGCTTTTTACAATAGCTCATTATCTAAGCTTTAAGTCTTAAACTATAAGAAATTGATCAATTATAATCGATTATTATTCTCACACATTCGATTGTGATTAGTTAACATTTTATAATTTAATACTTAAAACTTACATAACAGCTTATTAGTAGAAAGCCCATTAGACATATATGTATTCCAAAAGACGTCGCTATGACGTCTTTTAGACATGCATGTTGTCTGGGAAATCTCTAATTTACCGAGAGATTTCGAAATTTTCCGAATTCAATAATTTATATTCTTGCAGATGATGCGAACGTGGTGGTTGCTAGAAAGGAAATCATAACCATCATAGTATTGCATACCAGGGGTGTTTTCGTAATGTACTCTTAGGCACCGAGTATAATGCATTGTATTCGATACGTAAATACATACGTCTATTCTATGAGATACAAGATTAACGAGGTTAAATGTTCATATATTATTATTTCAGGTAATGTCGTACAATTATCTCCTGCTGTGTGTGTTCCATTATATTTGTGATTTATCGTATTCATTCCTTTATATTATATAGTGTTGGTCTTTTTTGTCATCTATAAATGAATCGCAAATAATGTAGTAAAATAAGAAGCAATTCGATTGTATTTATTGTGAGCTATTATTAATCCGGAAATAGTCTGTATAGAAAACTACCGTGATTGATGCGAATTGACGATAAAAGAAAAATATCCCAGGTCCTTTTTACACGATAAAAGCTGAACTATAATTCCCGGATGAAACACTTGTCACTAGTCGGTCCTCTGTTCAGTTTCAGGTAATAGAACTGTCA